AACCCTATCAAACCTCGCATTAGCCGAACGCCGCGAGGAACCCTTCCGCTGACGTGGACACAGGCCAGGACACGGAGCCATCAGATGCTCATGGGGTATTGTCGACGGCGACATGTCTGACCAACCAGGAGGACGACAACCCACCCTGTCCATACCATCTTGTGGTGGCGCAACAACTAACGTATCCGAGCCACCCTTGTTAATTTCGGTTGCATCCGAGCCACAACCCACTAAAACTCACGGGGCGACCACTAACCGAGGCACCTCGACGAAGTTAGAATTAATCCGAACCACACCGACGACAAATTTGGATTTGTCACATGCTCAGACGGTATTTACGACGTCGCACGTTCTGATAAACGTGAACGACGAAACCACATGCTGTCAACAGACCGTACCGTCCATCCACCGGTCCCCATCTCCGATTAATCCGAACCACACCTCGGACAGGATAGGGTCCACCCTATGCTCACAGGTCATTGGGGAAAACATGCCATGCCGATGGCCTCCTCTTGTGCTAATCCGGATGAATCCGAGTCACAACGTCGGTCTTTCGACTCTGCCCAGTTCGGATGTGTCCGAACTCCCCCGCTGTCTTCGTCTTCGACCATTCGCTCTACGAAGGGCAGTCTGATGACGAGGGTTAACGATGCCTCGGATTCATGCAACTACAACGAGTCGAGATGGTGACGCTCGGGTGGACGACGACATCCCCGTGATGACGCACAGATTATACTGACACACTACGGCAATCGCGGGGAGGTCCGGTGTGTGGTGTAGCTACAACAAATCGAACCGCCTCGGCGAAGTCGGATTAATCCGAACCACACCGATGGCTTGTTCGGATTTACCACATGCGCAGAGGGTATTGACGACGTCGCATGGTCTGATAAACTTGTACGACGAAAACACACGGTGTCGGCGCAGCCTGTCGTGGTCGCACGTATCGGGACAGCCCCTGTCGAAATCGGATAAATCTGAGCCACACCCGTCTTAAACACTCGAGGACAAAGACACACCGTGCGAAATTCGGGTGGACCCAAGGAAAGCTGGGGAATAACGGAAGCTTGGACGGCTGGATGCGCGTTAACAGACCGTGGGGTCCATCCGCCGGTCCCTGTCTCGGATTAACCCGAGCCACATTCGCGAAGTTCAGGCTCAACCGAACCAAACCTCCGGTCGGATAGGGTTAACCTAGTGCTCACAGGTCGATGACGAAAACACATGCTGTAGATGGCGACCTCTTGTGGACGACCGTCTCTGGACCGCGCTGTTCGAATTCGGATGCATCCGAGTCACAACCATTACGGACTCAGAAGGACAAGAAAACTCGATTTCGGTTTGGTCCGGGCCACAAGGGGGTGGTCCACACCACTTTGGAGCTCGGGTGCATCCGAACTACACCAGCTAACTTTACAATCCGCTTGTCGACTTCGGATGACACCGTATCACCACGGGGTGCACGTCTTCGTCTGTTGTGTCAGCGTTCTAGTGCCTTCCCTTGAGATATTGCTTTTCCCGGTGCGGGAGCCTATGCGACGTTCGTTTTTTCGATTGTGCCTGCTTCGGATGTATCCGATCTATCCCGCGGTCTTCGTTTTCGACCATTCGTTTTCTTAAGGGCATTGTGACGAGGATGGCTTACGATGCCTCCGATTCATCTGAAACGTGCAGGCGTGGGGACCACTGTCGTCTAACTTTGACTGAACTTCGTTGTTTTGGGGTCGGGGTGACCGATAACAGAATACGTTTTGTAGGTCGTGGTTGATGTTGGGACTTGCTGACTGTTCTGTGTGCATGTGGGTTCATTTCCTCCGTGTGTTTCAGGGAATGGCTACACACGGACGAAGCCGCTCCGCTGGTGGTTCCGCCCCGCATAGAGAGGAGCGTCGAGGGACGACGTCGTCGCCGGCAAGGGAGACGAGTCGGGGAGGTGGCGGTGGGGAGGAATAACGACGGGCTCAAAACTTGTGGTGCGACTACAACAAACGTGTCTGGTATTTGGACTGGGCGAGCCAGGACGGCTCCGACCCGTCGACGCTGGCGAATACAATTTCAAGTTTACATTGAAGAAGCATTACAGAAGTGATGGTTCCGTCGACGACATCGCAAAGGGATGCAAGGTTGCTGGGAGGATGTTCAGCGGGTACGGCCGGCGTGCGATGTCTTTGCCGTACTTTGTCCCGCTAGCGCCGGGGCACGACGAGGCCGTTCACGTGACAGACTTCCTCGAGGTCTGGGCGAAATCTGGTACCTCGCCGGTGAGGAGGGGGTGTCCAAGCAAGGGCTGTTCCGTGAGAGATCGGCTGAAAAGACTCAGTCGGGAGGAAAGCGCAACTTGCCGGATGAGGAAGAGCGAGAGGGAGTAGGTGCTCTGAAAAGGCAGAGAAAGGTAGGAGGGAGTGCTCGGACGCCAACAACACGAGAGGGCGGTTCCGTTGAGAAGACGAAAAGGGTTGGAGGTGGGGATGGAACGTGAAAAGACTCGTCGACACAGCGAAGAACCGGTGAGTCTTCCGGGAAACGGTCGAAATCATCGAGGGGGAAGAAAGCAGATGGGCGACAGTGGGGAGGGAGATGACGACGTGGAGATTAACCTCAATGCCTTTAACCTCGACAATGCGTTCATCCTCGAGATGCAGACAGGTGTGCAGAAGGACGTCGTGTTGCACATCCATCCCGAAAGAATATTAGCTATTCCAGACTGGGAAGACGCGTACAACCACCGATCCTGGGACGAGTTCCTCGTTGATACCATCACGCCGGCTATGATCGACTGCTACGAACATAAAGACATGAGACACATGAAGCCCATTTTCGTTCTCGCTCCGATCGTCGCGCCTCCAGAGAATGGCGAGCCTGCTGTGTGCGTGCTGCCTGCTGACTTCGACAACTCACAGCCGGAGAAATACTTGTATTATCCTGTGTGTGGACAACATAACGCGAGGGCGGCGATGAAGGTGAAAGACCATCCCGTGTTTGAGTACGACAACTTCTGTAAATGACCGTTCAGACCGATCTACTTCCCTGACGATGAGTTCATCGGCTACGCCCATGTCAGCTGCGAAGACAACATAAAAGACAAGAAGAATCCACCGCGCTTGCAGGTTTTGTCTATGCGGAACATTCGCAATATCTGAAAAATTAAGGGCAAACCGCGTGTGGTGCTCGGCAATGCGTCGAAGAAAAAGGACGAGGTGCGAAAGTGGGTGCAGTTCATGGCGTTGGCTATGAAGAAGACATCGTACACTCCTTTGTGGAACCTGTCAACGGAAGAAAAGAAAAGAAAGGAATGGGCTGAGAAACTTCGATACTACCTCCCGCTGGCCATGGCAGATGACTCCGTCTTCGCTTTGGGAGAGAAGTTCTATGAGGAGTGGTCGAAAGGGAAACTCCTTGCTTTCGACGGTCGGCGTTGGACTGAAAAGCCGCCCACCCATGAGGAGGTGGCCAAGCCAGGACTCTCCACTGTGACTGACAGCTAGGGGCTGAAGAAACAGGTCTGGTACGTGAAGGTGGACGACCCGTCGTTGAAAATGGGCAAAGGGAAGCCAAAGAAAGGCGCGGAGGAGAAAACCTTCTACGTCCAAGTTCCTGAGCCGGATGTCCACTGCTGGAAGGAATTGGTGGACTTGACGGACCGCGAGAAGAAAAGGCTATTGAACAGCGTCTTGAACCTTAACGTCGTGTGGGTTCAAACGAGTAGCAAGAAGTTGGCCGAGCAAGGGAAGTTGAGTGTCAAGGAGATGGTCGACATAATAAAAATGGACCGGATTATGCTGAGGCTGTGGCACTATGTGGAGTTGGAGTACGAGGAAATGGATAAGCGGGAGTGGAATGCCAACTCCACGTTCTTCAGGTCCAAAATCAACTGTTTGAAGAGTTCAAGGACAAAGGTCTCGACGACAAGCTTTGGAACGAGAGCAGGAAATTTTTCACGGACTCCTCGTACGTCAACAAGTGCCCTCAGTTTCTCAGGTGTCAACACGACAACAACATCAAGAGAACAGTGGCCCTCGTCAACAACCAGCATTTCCCGGCGGAGTGGAAGTGTGTCGTCCTTTCGGTGATCACTGGAGATCGCGCCAAAGGCAAAAAAAAACCTCAGTGCGTTGATGAATGCATCAACATTATGTGGACGAGGACAAGCGCCTTGACGACGCTGGCCCAGTTTAACGTCGACCCATTGAGTGCCATAGATCATAAGGAGGTGCTGGGAAAACTAAGGCATCAGCTACGCTCCCACACTTACGTGCTCGACTTGTGCGGAACTGTGGACCGTGCGCAATGGGACTCTGGGCATTCGCGTCTCTGAGTGAGTTGTTGGGCTTTGTTTGTCAGGACTAATGGACATTGGTGGTATTTGTTCCCTGCCTGTGGAACCTCTCCTTCATGACATCTTTGTCTGCGCTTGGGGCTACGCGATGCTACACGGGGAAGTGGGTTCGGAAGACGGCAGCGAAGAAGAGGCATGAGTTCGGAAACAACGTCTGGGAGGAGCCGGATGTGATGCACATCCTTTTCAAAGACGAGGATCCTCGGCTACTGACTCACCCGGTGTACGAGGGAGCTGTTGCTGAAGACGACGACGTCGCTCTCTGAGTGAGTTGCTCTGAGTGAGTTGTTGGGCTTCCTTTGTCAGGACTACTGGACATTGGTGGTATTTGTTCCCTGCCTGTGGAACCTCTCCTTCATGACATCTTTGTCTGCGCTTGGGGCTACCCGATGCTACACGGGGAAGTGGGTTCGGAAGACGGCAGCGAAGAAGACGCATCAGTTCGGAAACAACGTCTGGGAGGAGCCGGATGTGATGCACATCCTTTTCAAAGGCGAGGATCCTCAGCTACTGACTCACCCGTTGTACGAGGGAGCTGTTGCTGAAGACGACGACGTCCCTCTCCAAAGGAAATAGAAAGTGACACCCACGGATGTGGAGGAGAAGTCTTTCAAGTCCTTGACTTTCGCGGACATCGAAAACCTCACCCAGAGGGGGGCTCTGTACAAGGACGGCGAGCGGATGCAATCAACTTCTTTTCTTCTGTGGTGTGGCGGATGCCATGCTGTTCTTGGGCAAGCCGCACGCGCAGGTGGCATGGAGTCTGCTTCAGCAGGGAAGGCACATCTTGGCCGTGGATGGGGACACAACGCAGCTCGAATACACCGTGCAGTATGCCACCCATGAAGTGTCGTCCAAGGCTTACCCATGCCATTTCCACCATATCGTGGTCGAGGCCGTTTATGACCCGAACAAGAACATGTTCTTTAAGTTGACTCTGAAGAAAAGGCGCCAGGTCTACTCCTTCCTTTACGGTGAACAACCAAGGTTGAGATTTGACCCGCAGTACGTGGTGCGGAAGGAAGTCGCCATTGCGGTCCTCCAGGGCTACCACGGAGCGAGTCGGGCTGGCGTTGTGAGCTTCATGAAGAGGCTGGAATATGTATTTTTTAACGAGGATGTCGTCGATCCGGCCGACTTCACTTTGGATAACTACAAGCTGGCATTCGGTGAGGAGGACGATTTCAATATCGAGACTGAGGAGAAGGAGAGCGTTGAGGACAACCTCTTCGATTTGGACGGGCAATTGGTCATCTTCAACGCCCAAGTTTCTGAGTCGCCGTCAGTATGCAAACCGGGGACACCTCTCGCTACACCCACCTCGGGCGGCCCCACGCCCGTGTCCTCCTCAGCGCCTGTCAAGGGGGGTGGGTTGTCCCGTCTGAGGAGTTCGCCGGGGGAGCCTATTCGTTTCAGACCGCAGCCCGAACGTCTTCGACCCGGCCATCCAGTTCCTCCGGACCATCCGCATCTCAAGGCTCCTGCGACTCCCTTCCACATGGGCGACAAACACACCTTCTCCACATCCGAAGATTGGGGCCATGATATCGTGTGGCATCCAGACCATTTTCAGCCAGTCCTTCTCGACGGTGAATGGGCAGTGGTTGTGAGGGACGTAAGTGGAGGGTAGATATATGACGATCGTTGGGACCTCGAGACATTCAAATCTCGCGCCAACGATCTGGTATTGGAGAGATTAAGTGAGGTCAATCGACGAAGTAAGGATGACCCGGCTATGCGCGCATACGAGGAAACGTTGTTCGATTTCTTGCAGTCAAATAAATTGTTGGAAGTATCGTCCGCATTCTACGCCCTTCCGTCAAGCCCGTCAATTAACCAAGTGAGTGGGGAGTTGCCAGCGGGCACCCAGACGGCAGGAGTTGTGAAGCGCAAGTCTCGCAGAAAGGATGGCGAAGGGGATGGTGAAGGCGGCGGGCAACGAGGTACCGGAGGTGGAAGTGAACAGCGTTCAACGAAACAGCGGTCTCCGGGGCACGCAGGCGGCGGAAAGGGGAAAACGGGCAGCCGGGAGAAGAAAAAGCCTCGAAGCGGAGACAAGACAAAGCATCACACAAGAGATGGGCAGGGGTCCGATGTCGACCTCGACGAGGACGGTGGGGTTCTGGCGGTGACAGGCAGCACCTCAATGGAGACGGGGAACGACTTGAGGCCTGGGTGGCTTACACGGCCTGGCGAGCAGGACCCTGTGATTAGCTCCACCAGCACAACACAGTATACCAATGCTGTTGGCGGGGCAGTTGTAGCAAAGAATGGAACTTGCTTCGCTAAGCTCCAAAAACGGTTGGCCGATTGTCTCGGATCTATCCGAACCTCGGAGACGACATCGTCGTCCGGAACTCTGTGCCTTCCGGGAAGCGAGACGACAATATACCACGGATCCGACATCGACAAGCTCCAACCATGTTCGGTTTCACCTCAAAAGGAAGTTCGGATTAATCCGAGCCGGGAAGCCAGTACTGTTGAGAGAGCACAACGGTCTCCGGAACTCGAACGGGTGGTCCGGGTTTCCGAAAACCCTGGCGGCAAAATTCGGATTCATCCGAACCAGAAGGACGTCTCCGCCATGACAGACGACCGGTGTCAGGACACCGTAATGCTGTGCATGGAAGTCCACAAGGAGCTGCAGGCAGACTGTCCGACAGAGGGTGAGTTAGTGACCAGTTTAAATGTCGAGCCCCGCACACTCGGAGCAGAATGCCTGGTGACGGTACGCGCTGAGTTAGCAGTCTTAAGCCACTCTCCGGTGAAAGCGGACACGTCGTCGCCGTTGGAAACTGTGGGGGCTCGGATGAATCCGAACCAGGGCCCTTTGAGCATGTCCCTCCCTGATGCAGGTTTGGAGACGACCATAATTCGGATTCATCCGAGACACACGGATGAAGGACTTGACGGTTGTCGACTTCTGACGACTTTGGACAAGGACGATTCCGCCGACGACCGGATTGATCCGACACTCGGCGACGTCGGGATGGAGCAACCAGTTCAGCTGGCATACGATGACCCCTTGTACTCCGGCCTTCACGACGAGGTGATAGGAGAGGACGTTCTGAAGAAGTCCTCTGACGCTGTTGGAGATAGATTTCTCTATTTGAGTGATGACGATAAAGACACAGCGCACAACGACAAGAAGTTAAGGGGGGGAGAGGTGTTGTTGGACATCCATGGGACCTTGAGCACAACACAATGCGACACAGTGGCGACGGAGGAAACCCAACCTGTCGATGTTGTGGACGTCGACGCTCTTTGTCCGGAGACGGACAGACTAAAATTGCCCGTCGCGAACGTGGAGGATTTTCGCCATCGGGATGGGGATGAATTCATGCCATTTCCGGTCATCGACGCCGACATCTCGAACCTGTCAAGTTTCCCTGTGAGTTTGGAGCACATCGTCGCCGCGTCACCGCGCACGGGGGCGCCAATCGTGTTGGGACTGTCATCGGTGGGCTCTGGTGACGTTGAAGCTAAGCTTGGTAAGCACTGTCTTCCTCTGCTTGCTTCCCGCTCGTCAGCTCGTTTGTGAAGTGTTGTTTGCTTCGTCGATTTCGGGGAGGTGTGTACGCGGCCGCCAACTGGATTGTGACGATGTGCTTCGTGAGGTGCTGTTTGCTTGGTTGCTCTTGCGAAGTTGTGTTGTTGATCTCCTACTGAACTGTCTTGGTGGCTATTTCTTGTACAGGTCGACGAGCTCATGGACAAACACACATGTCATAGGAACCGCCTGCCCTCGCCAGGTTGTCAGTCCTAGTTGCGGGAGGCACTGGTCGTCGCAATGTCACTGATTCGTTTCCTGGGGAGACTAAACCTCGGGGCTCTCCCAGAAGGGTTGTCGTGCCCGTATTGGGCCCTCGCGCTAGGCTCGTTGCAGAGGCAGCGGGTGTTGTCGAAAAAGACTGCAAGGAATTCCTTCTCGAGGCTTGCAGGGATATAAAGAAGGACAGTGCTAGTTTAGAATCAACTTTGTGTAGAAGGTCCAGAAGTAGGGGTGACGTTATGCATGAACTTTTCGGGCCACAGAGTAGCGGTTCGTCGGACCATGGCCGCTAGGACGGCATTTTCTCATAGTGCCCCATCCTTTGTGCTTGTTGTGTGCTGCGGGTGTTTGTTGAACAGGGTTTCCTCGAGATGGAAGATCAGTCCTTGAAGACGTTTTCTGCTCCCGGTTGCCGCTCACTATCATCGTCGCGCGTTTGTCGTCACGCGTTAGTCGTCGCACAATTAACAGGTTTCTGTCAAGGACATCGTCACACTTGTGGATGGATCCGGGGAGCTCAACGATGAGGTCGTCGATTTCTACATGGCGATGCTACTGGACGACTGCGGCCGGACTGCTGCTACCAAGAAGACGTACACCTTTAACTCTTTCTTCGCCTCTACACTGCTTCTGCGAGGTCCGGCAGCTGTTTGCAGATGGGCTAAAGATGTGGACCTCCTATCTCATGACCTCGTCTTGGCACCAGTGCACAAGGACGGCGAACACTGGAGCCTTTTGGCCATTGACTTCTCTAGACGTGTTTTGGAAATCTATGATTCTTTCTCGTGTTCGTCATCCAAAGATGACTTCTACTCAGCACTTTTAGATAAATCTGTTAAATTTTTTAACACGGTGGCAGTTGTCGCCGGTGATAGTCGCACTTTCGACCACTTCGCTCGCGAGGTCAGCGTGAAAGGTGTCCCTCGGCAGCACGACGGGGCTAGTTGTGGGGTGTTCA